ACTCCTAAGTACAAGCAAGGCATGGGAGCTAGGACAACAGGTAGGATGAGGTTAGTATCCAAGATTGCACAGGGACAAGATTATCAAAGAGCATAGTTTAGCAGATTCTTCTCTTACTCACCTCCGTGCTCAGTAAGATGCTGGGGATTGGCCTGAACTCAGAGTATATCCTCTGGCTTCGACTTTATAAGTGATTTTAAGGCCTTAATGAAGTCATTTATCTGTACTTCAATTTCTATGTCTGAAAATACGCCTGATCATAATGTTTCACTTACTTTACAGAGATATTGAGAAAATAAAATAATGAACGTGATAAGGACTTTGAAACATTAAAGCACAACGGAAATGTTACCCTTTGATTAATGATAATATAAAGAGACCATAATATTTCAACTATACGAAGGGCATATTAAAATTATAGCAGTGATTATCTTTGGGTGGGGGAGATAATAACTGATTGCTTTTCTTCAAGAGCAACACTTTACACATTTTAAAATAAGTTTTCAGTTATCTTTAGTCTCTTGGCGGAGTTTGAGAAATCTCAGCTTCCCCAGCCTAGACTTCCTAGACGTGCTGAATTTGAAATCTACCCAAAATAGAGGAACTCATTCTTCCTCCCTTGTCCCTTTTAATCTCCCATCTGTTTCACTGAAGCCCCCGCCAGCAGCCTCTATCTTGTTCTGGCATGGAGGGGGATCTTGTTTTTAGAGAGGGCTCTTTAAAATTCTTTAGTGTAGAAATAAAGATTCCACATCTAGACACCTACTCTGTCATTAGTATTTACTATAAATTCAGCTCCCAACCTTGTACTTGATCTGGGTAATAGAACCTATCTCGATCTCCTGTGCTAGAACACCTTCCTTTTTTCCCTAGTACTCCTACTCTTCTGATCCTGGGGCTCTGTCTTACCCTTAACCACGTCCCTTCCACCCCAGCTAGGAACTCCCCATGAGTTCTGCATTGTGGAAATGATGCTACCCTCTTGCTGTCTATAGTAATTGCCTCCTTTCTTGGCTCTCCAAATATCATGTGCTATAAGACTTCTCATCTATGGGCACACATAGCCGTTATCTCTTCTTGAACCACTACTATCTCTTTTTGAATGACTCCTGCAGCTACCTTCCTTATGGCACCTATGAGCTATCCACCTACTCTCCAGTTACAGTGTTTCCTCTGCTTCCAGAGGCATTTTATCACTTTCTTGAAGCTCTCCCTGCCCTCCACGAAGGTGCCCAAGCCCTCCTGTTCTACCTCACTCACCGTTCCCTGAGCTTCTCTTCTGAATCAGTGCGCGCAGGAGAGTTACACTTCATATTTTGCTCCCTGCGGGGAGAGAAGTTGATTTTCACATTGGTTCATGGAACACCAGGTAAAATATTCCAGAGATTCTGATTTCTTTCAGAGATGAGGGGGATCTACTCAGTCAAGAGGTTAACTGAAGCCTGATTTTTCCTAAGCAGACTTTCAAGATTAAGTGCTTTAATTGGTACTAGGAAATCAAAGGCTTAATTCAGTGATATATACTCTGAGCTTTGGAAGGAGCTATAGTTATTATCATCTTTATCGTCATCATCATCACTCACACCCCTGCCTTCGTCCCCTGCCTAGTACTCCAGGTTCTCTGACGTCAGGTTACTGCTTCACACTTGCCAACATCCTCCCACTCCTTGCCAGGGACTAAGCATCCTACATTGAATCCCTGGCTAGATTTACAATTAGATTGCTACCATCACATTTGAGTCCTTTATGATGGCCCATCATAAAGATATGTAAACATTGTCTAATTTAATGTTTATAATAACTCCATCTATAAGCTAGTATTAGGTCTATTTTGCGTATGAAGAAATTGGGGTTTAGAGAGTGTATCTGATTTGTCTAAGGACACATAGTAGTCAGTGACAAAGCCATGATTCAACCTAAGTCTACTTAAGCCAAAATCCATGCTCTTTTCTTTACACTTTGCTATTTCTATGAAAGTCTTTTGCATTTTCAATGATGAGATTTCTACTGCATTATCCCCATTATGGTCAACAAAACATTTAACTTTTCTGAGTATAAATCCAACACACTGATCACAGCTAAATTTCTGAAGTTAAGGTTGAATTTCATCTATCTTTATATTTTTCTCTACAATTGTCATATGAAACATTGAATCCACATATAATACGCACCTACCTCTTCTCACTTAGCGTCAGTGAGGGAGCAACTTTCATTGTCTTAAAGAAAAGCAACCTGTTTCGAGGTTACTGTCTCTGCCATGTGCTTCCAACCCCCTGTGCATACTTTGACATCACTCCCAAAGCTTTTTATTGCAATGAGCTATGTTTATCCACCTCTCCAATAGATGGTGAGCTTCATCAGGGCATGGGTAAGTTTATTCATTTCTTGATCCTCAGGGATTTAGTACAGTGACATAAGATAGCCCTCAATAAATGTTGAATAAATTCAAGAATGGGAATAATTATTTCAAAATATGTAACCATGATCCTTTTCTGGGTTTTAATACTCCAACATATTGTTAGAAGATTTTTGCAAACATTTTATTTTTTAGTATTAAAAAATCCCTTTTAAAGGAAGATTGGTTAATTAGCAAAATGAGTCATCAACACATTTCAGCTTTTCGTTTGAAACATATTTCAAAATTTTGAGAAGGTGTGGAATGAAACAAATATAATGATGTTTCTAACGTTGACCCAGAGGAAAATATGTCTCCATTGGGATGATAGAGGATACATTTAATCCCACTCATAATTATTTTTAATTAATTCCAAATATCTTTGATTGAGCTTAATCTCTTTCTAAAATGTTCACAAGTTTATAGTATAGCCATAGCTTGGATTTTAACAACTCTTTCTCAATATAGGAGCAAACATCTAGAAAGGAAATGTCCTGGAGATTGGCTTGCATACCCAATTAATTTCACTGCGGTTGTTGAAGTTTTATTTCTGTTGTTATTCCTATCCCAAATAAAGTGACAAAAATGCAAATTTGAAAATATCTTTGGGCCACTATTTTTAAGCAGTGGTATTTTTGCTGAGGCAACGCATGGGATATACAATGAGATGAAAGATTTCTTCTTTACAGAAGCCTCTGCCCCAGAATATAATGGTCCCTGAGAAACAGCCTGACACAATCTTCAGGGGAAAATGATCTTACAATATATTTTTGATTGGGCAGGAATTTATCCATTCATTCTAGGAGATTCATTTGCATTCCTACTGTGAACCAGTCAATATCCTGGCTCTTGAGGATTCCACAATGATCCAGAGATCATGTCTTGCCATCCAATGGCTTCATGTATCTTATGATCTGATGGGCGGTTATAATACAAAGTGATAAATTCTAAGATAGAGTCAAGTTTTGGTTCTATGAGAGCACCTGATCTGGACTTAGAGTTGAGGGTTGGTTAGTGTGGGCATTCTGGTCTCAGTGACATCTAAGCTAAAATCCGAAGGTAAAGAGAGGCAGGAGAAGAGTTCCTGCAGAGATTAGGTGTGTGTGATGATCTAGAGGCATGACGTAGTGGGACATATCATGGGGACCAGAAGTAATTTAGTATGCAAGTTCCACTTGCAGATCATGTAGAGAAGTGGAGCTATCTCTTTCTCTAGGAAGCTTGTGGAAACCATTACAAAGCCATCACTTTTATATGACGAGGTAATGTCATACTCTGTGGGGTGCTTGGCTTTCCGTTGCTGGGACAGAAGGAGAGATGCAGCTGCCAAAGGAGATACAGAGTGCTGAGTTCTGAAAACATCAGTTCCATGGAGCCATTTTTGTCAATGAGGACGTAGGCAGCCATTTTTTGCCGAGTATATTAAGGGCAAGGAAAGGAGGCTATAAAAATCAGTTGATTAAAATATAGTGTTTAAAGAAAGAGACTCCGTGCAGAGATGGTTTGAGGAGAAGAGCAGGCTGGGAACAGGAGGGTCTAAGTTAAATGGGCCTCTGTCTTTGGCCACCAGGGTCAAGGGTTACCTTTTTCTCGAGGATCAGCTTGAAATTTTAAATCAAGCCACACTAGATGTATTTTACTCTTCACTGTATTTAATTATGTGGAATAAGTGGCATGTAGCTCTCATGAGAGAGTTTGGATTCAGTCCTTCCTAACACAGCCCTTTGTAATCTTTATGAAACCTCTAGATAAAGACTTTATTCAGGGGTTTCTTTTCTTTCTTTTTTTTTTTTTTGTGTGTGAACTGGATAGATCTCTATGAGATTGTTAAACTCGAGATTATGGTTCCTTGAGTGGACACAAGCTCAACTCTGCAATATGCGTGCTGCATGTGAAAAACGAGAGGGTAATTAGGTTCTCTATTCTAGCCTGCCGAGGAACCATGTATTACTATTATCACTATTACTAGCACTGTGACTTTTACTACAAGTTCTAAAACTGTTAACTAATGTTTATATATTGCTTTTTTAAAAACAGTAGGGTTAGGTTTATAGAAAAGTTGCAAAGATAACACAGAGAATTCCCATATACCCTACACTAAAGTCCCCCTATTATTAACACCTTACATTAGTATGGTGCATTTGTCATAATTAATGAACCAATATTGATAATTTTTATATGGAGTTAGTTAACTCCATACTTTATTCAGATTTCATTAGTTTTTCCCTAATTTTCTTTTTTGGTTCCAGGATCCCATCCAAAGTATCACATTATATTTAGTAATCACATCTCACTATGTTTCTCTGGGCTGTGACAATTTCTCTAACTTTCCTTATTTTTGATGGCTTTGATAGTTTTGAGGAGTACTGGTTACATATTTTATAGATCACCCCTCAACTTGAGTGTGGGTGTTGTTTTTCTCATGGTTGGAATGAAGTGATGGATTTTGGGGAGGAACGCCACAGAGATGAACTGCCATTCTCAACACAACGTATCAAGAGTGCGTACTATCAACTTGACTTACGACTAATGATGTTAACCTCATATATTGCTTTATTGAGATATAATTTACACATAATTAAATTCATCCACTTAAAGTGTACAATTCAAAGGTTTTAGTATATTCACAGTTCTGTGCAACCATTATCACAACTTAATTTTAGAAGATTTCCATCACCCTGAAAAGAAACCCCATTCCCATTAGCAGTCACTCTCCACCTTCTCCCTACCTTCCCCAGCCCTAGGCAAACAATAATCCACCTTATGTCTCTGTAGATTTGCCTATTCTGAGCATCTCATGTGAACGGAATCATGGAGTCTTTTGTGTATGACTGGCTTCTTTCACTTAGCATAATGTTTTTAAGATTCATCCATGTTATGGCATGTATCAGCACTTCATTTCTTTTTATTGCTGAGTAGTATTCTATCCTATGTATATACCACAATTTATTTGTCTATTCATTTGAGTGGTTTCCACTTTTTGCCTATAATGAATAATACTGCTATGAACTGTTATTTGGGGGTGTCCAACCTTTTATGTGGAGGCATGTTTTTATTTTTCTTGGGTATATACCTAGGAGCGGAACTGCTGAGTTGTATATTGCTTTTGTGTGTGTGTGTGAGGAAGATTAGCCCTGAGCTAACATCCAATGCCAATACTCCTCTTTTTGCTGAGGAAGATTGGCGCTGGGCTAACATCTGTGCCCCTCTTCCTCTACTTTATATGGGATGCTGCCACAGCATGGCTTGATAAGCAGTGTGCCAGTCCTTGCCTGGGGTGTGAACCCCAGGCCACCGAAGTGGAGTGCATGAACTTAACCGCTACGCCACCAAGCCAGCCCCTGTATATTGCTTTTTAAGTTACAAAGTATTCAAGAATATTAAGCATTTAATCTGAAACAATTCTGAGAGAGAATTATTACTATAACACCTAGTAAATAGTGCTAACTGATTTTATAGATGCATTAGGACTCAAAAAAGATACAGAGTAAAGACAAAACTAAAACAGTTGGGACGCATTCTTAGGCTGCTGTTAAAAATTAGAGCATAACTACAAGACAGAAAAACATAAGTAAGAGGAAATGGGTATTTGGGGAGAAAATTATTATTTATTGTACTAATAAAAACTTTCATTTATTAGGCAAGCCTCTTTGGAGTGAAGTGGATGGTGATTATAGATACATTTCTTGAGAGTTTTGCTTGAAAAGGAAGTAGTAAAATAGAAAGACTGCCAAATGGGGATGAAGATCCAGGAGAGAGAGAAAGAAAACAATTGGAGGAACTATCTTCTTGGCTAGGGAATGGCATCCAGTGCACAAGTGGTCAGATTGGCCTCTTTGCAAGTGTATATGCAAAATTACTTTTTCAATATTTGTCCCTTTTTTCTTAGCCATACTTGATCTAAGAGATCAAGATAATGCAGGAGAAAATGCCACTTTTTCTGTCAATACCCTGAATCCTGAATGGAGTCCCCATAGCAGTTAATTGTTTAATTCCTTGGAATTAACAAAGTACTTTCATTGCCGTCAAACCCACTTTGTGTTCACGGCCATGTGTGATCTGTAGAACACATATTATTGTTCCCATTTCGTTCATGAGGAAATGGAAACTGAATTCAGAGAAGCAGAGAAATAAACTCATATAGCTCGTATATAAATAGCAAAGCTAGTTATTGAACTAAGGTGATTTGACTCTAAATCTAGTTTTCTTTCTAGATAATTGCAAAAATCAACATACATAGTGAGTTGAAAACTTCTAATTGCTGCAAATAATGTTTATAAAATATTTGGAAAGGATAATATTGTTGGCAGGAATCATTGGTAGCCTTGGAATCACGTGGCATTTTTTTTTTGCCCCAAATTGGAGTGCTACATTTAGAAAGTACTGATTAGGGAGAAGAAAGTTGTCGTAACAAGGCAGATAGGAATCCTTCAAACCAATCTATTTCCTAGGGAAAAATAAAGAAAATTAAAAACACAAAAGTAATAATATGGAATAATAAAAGAAAATGGAAACTTCTATTTTTTTGGTCACTTATCAATTAATAGCATAGCATTTATGAAGAGCTAGTTACATGGGATCTGGGGACATTTTGATTAATTATCAGAAACTAGTTTATTTGTCTGCCTAGGAAGTCGTTGGGAGTTGATTGATACCTCAGTTGTCTAAGAGATTTAGTTGGAATTCTTGCACTGATTCAGAAAAAAATTCTGATTTTTGATTCTATGTGTAATTCAGAAAAAATTCTGTGCACGGTCATGCTATTATCTGGACATTCTTCTTTGGCAAACAAAGATTGCGGCACAGTTCTTCTGTATGCTACTGGCTGGCAAAGTGTAGTGAGTACAGAAGAAAGAGCCGGAATTGGTGCCCAGCATCTTGGTTTCACAATCCGTTTCCGACTCTGAGCGGATTGGGTAGGTCACACGACTTATGTCTGAACCTCATTTCCCAGAGTCAGTAAATGCACAATCTGGATTCCTCTCAAAGGTCTCTTCGGTTTGAACATTCTAAGAACATCTAACTTATATGTTACTACTGGTAACACAAGATTCAGACGTGTTTGTGATCATTTTCTCCTAATTGGGTTTTGTTACTTGGGGGTTATAAGACCAGGCAAAGTGAAATAGTAGTCGGGGCATATGTATCCCTCAAGGTGCTCATAAACTATAGAAATAGATTCAGTTCCTAATCACAGTGATTGCCAGTAACCATCTTAATGGCTGCATTCACAGAGGTGATGCATTTTCCCAAAGTGCTGAAGAAATTACTATAATTCAATTTAATTTCCTGTAGCTAACTAACATGGTGCATCTCCAGACCCAGGACACTAGCTTCTTGACTTATTATTATTTTCTCTTTTAAAGTTCATTATAACTGAAATATTGTTCAAGAAATGGAGTTATAGAAAGTTATAGGGGTATCATTTAGAGAAGAAAGCAAATAACTGAATCCTTTTTAAGGAGTACTATCAATTTAAAGACTGAATCTGTAGAAGTTTTAAAAAGAATGGTTAGACAAAAATTATTTAATAAAATGTACCAGGGCTCATTCAAATATTTGGCTATCAATCGTTTAGTAGCAGATATCTAAATTTCAGGGCAATTTTAAATCCTGAAAAAGCCTTCTTAGGACTAAAAAGGCAAAGCCACATAAAAGGAGGTGATAATTTCATCAATAAACTTGTGTTTGAAGACTATCTACCACATTTACAATGAATGATCTTCAAGAACATCATAGTGGGTAACTTTAATTTGTGAATAGGATTGTTAGCAATTTTGGATCCTACATTCTACAATGCCAAAGCTCTGTGTTTGGCTTCATGAACAAAGCAAATCAACAACCAACTTCTATTGGATCTCTACTGCACAACAAGTTGGGAGAAGTCCTTAGTACATATCCTGCCATGTAAGAAATGCTCAATGCACAGTTGAATTATTATTGAGTAAACATCTATTTTTTGCAAATGTTAAAATATAATTGTGGAGGTATGTGTGAGTTTAGGGCCCTTTAATATAGCAAAGTGCTCTAGTTCTTGTACTTCTTGACTGCAATATTCCCATTTTCAGAATGGGAACATTCTGGAAACATTTTCTTGGTTAATGAATATAAAACATCTGGTCTTTAATATTTAAATGCCATTCTTTGAAGGGTAACAATACATGCTGTTTGGAACCTGTTCATATTCTCCTGCATTGCGGCAAATTAACAGTGTTCTGTTACTGAAAATATTTTGCTCTCAGATGGACTTCAGCAAAGTGATCAATGATCCTTTGCACTTTGTTACATTAATTGAGCCAATTGAAGGATAAACTTGATTAGACAATTATATAAATCTGAATTTAGCCAAGCTTCTACACTGATCGGGGGTTATAGGATTTTCCTCCTGCAGATTGTTCTGCTTTGTTTTGACTAAGTGTCTGGACGTACAGTTTTTAAAAGACAATTATAATCAATGTGAAGTGCTTTATATCTTGGAGTGAGATCATTGGTGAGATTTAAAAATTGAAAGATAGGGCCACAAATGGGCTTGGAATCAACTCAAAGTCAGTTAAACTATAATAAAAGTGAATAAACTCTGAGTGGTGGTGATTCATGGTGAAGAGATCATGAGCTGTTATAGCTTGCATTGGGGATTACTTATAGATTTCTCCACAAGAGGCCACCTAGGGATGCTAATTGGATGGGTTCTTAACTCTACCTGTCAAGTACTATATCTAAATGTTCTGTTCTGAATAGCCATTCTGGCAAGAAGTATTTTCTGGGCTCTACTCTAATTAAAAATATCCAGGAAAATATTAGCAGAGATTCACAATAGAGAAACTTATTGTATTTGATGATATTTGAGAAAGGAGAAGTAGTGATTAAGGGAAAAGTAAAGATTAAGGGAAAAAATGGTGGTAAAAGATTTTTTAAGTATAATTTTTATTTTTTAAAGACAGTTCGTGTGTTTTGTGTTTTTGCAGGAAAAGATTCACCCTGAGCTAACATCTGTTGCCAATCTTCCTCTTTTTTTTTTCCTCCCCAGAGCCCCAGTGTGTGGTTGTATATACTAGTTGTGAGTCGTTCCAGTTCTTCTATGTGAGCCGCCACCACTGTATGGCAAGTGACAGATTGGTGGTGTGGTTCCACGACCAGGAAGCAATGAGCACCGAACTTTAATCACTAGGCCACCAGTGCTGGGTCTAAGTATAAATTTTTAAGTATGGAGTATCCAGTAAAATTTCAAATAAACTTTTCTCCATAATTCTAGGGGTGCTGAGCAAGATGGACTTCTCAAGCAGAGCAGTTTCCTGAGTGAGACATTTATGGGGACAGGAAACTGGACTCTATATCCCAGGGGGGCTACACGTGCCAGTAGAGTCATGAGTTGGCACTGCTGTTGGTAAGATACAAGAGCACAGATGAGAATTGGAGTTACAGGATGCCATACATCTGTGTAGAACACAATGTGACCCTTTCTCCATGACACATCCAGTTCTCCAGTAAAATTACTAAGCATCACCAAATGCCAAGTGTGAGGCATTTCTTGTGGAAAATGGACAGATCTCTGCATCCAAGTCTGGTGTGGGATGAGACCTCAAAGCCTCTGCTTTGTTTCAAGAGCAAAGTTAGAGAGAGTGACAAACACATGCAGAGTGAAAAAGAGTGACAAAACATTGAACTTCCCTGGTTAGTGGAACCAGGGTTCAGGGCTCAATGATACCAAAGCC